CGTAGCACCATCAGAAGTGAGGCACATCACCTCACTTCGCACTGACTCGTTACCACTTGATCGCGTTACACTTCGGCTCAGGTTTCTGACTTCAGAAGAGGTTCCATAACGTATCGTGATATGTAATCCATCGTAATAGACTTGAATCTCTGGATCTTGTCTTGTTTCATCGTAGAATCTTTGAATCCATAACGTAATACCTTCATATAAACGTAGATGTTCTTGATTTTTGATACTTTGGCGTCCGGATTCAGGGATTTTCTTCGGGATTCAGGGGTTAACGGTCGGGATTCAGGGAATTAGTCACGGAATTCTGGGATATTTGGTCGGACTCTGGAGTATAATGCTCCACACTGCTTGTGGAACATGTCACCACTCCATCTGTTATCCATCTCTCCTTGGATCGTGAGTCTTGTGCGTAAATGATTCTTATTGGTAACGTTCTTGAGCTTGGGACTGACGTATTCTGGGCTGAACTAAGGCAGTACGGGGTGTTCGGTGCAATACGTTTGCATCCACACTTTTCACAATCATAAGTACCCGTAGTCAGGACGAGGGCGAGTCTGGACTGAGCATCATAATACTTCCAGACTCTAAGGCCCATCCTTAGCTCTTCTCCAGGTCATCACAGTCACTTTTCTTTCCACACATTCACACTTGGTAATCTTGTATCCATTACCTAATTCCTGGTTCCACACAGATCCTTGCTTCCATGAGAAATTCCAAATCACTTCGTGTCATACTACTTCGACACTTGGGTCGGAAAACTGTCAGGGCAAGAAATGATATTGGGGATGGAGTTCATGGTACCGACAGGAATCCGTCTTGACATGGCCGACGGGTCGCTGTGTCTCCCGGACGAAGTGAGACTCCAGCTGTCCGGACGCCGCCAGCTCTTCAGCGGGAACTCAAGGTTGGTCACCTTCGATCAACACCACAAAATTCCGGTTGCAGGATCGGTGGAGATCGCCATCCGCAGATCTGCGTCTGACAGACAGAAACTGTGGGCCACCCGTGGAGAACAGTGGGTACCAACTGCGGTCAAGGGACTGGGTAGTACGCAGTACCTGCGTATAACAAATGTGTCGGAACGATCAGTGACGCTACAACGCGATACTCGAGTGGGTATCTGGCTGGCAGGAAATCACGTACCGCGGATGCCAGGGTTTGTCTCGATCGGATCCCGGAGATACGCTGAGTGGCAAAACTTGGCGTTGCAAGCCACCACTGAACAGCAGGCTGTGGATGAGGTGGTCGGAACTGCGACAGAGCCAATGGTAGACAAGCCTCTATACGAGCCGCCGACCAAGATCCTAATGGGTAGACAAGAACGCCCGAAAGCGATGATCGTCCTGTCGGCGTCTGCGAAAGAGTCGACGACTGTACAAGATATCGCGGGCGAAGTGTCGGCAGGGTCTCAACCGAAGGAAAAAAGTCGTATCAATACGACGGAACCAAAGGGAGAGACCAAGAGTGGTCGTCGATCTTGCTCAACGGAATTGGGAGGGCCACAAGTGGAACCGAAGAAGGAAGCTGACGATGACTTGGACGACGCTGTCTGCTACCATGAAGGCGGGGATATCTTCCCTGAAGACATCGAGAACAACTTGGCTGTCCTGCCGGAAGTGGAGGCTACCACGAAGGAAGTCACCATCGATTACATACAAGTAGATGATCCACACGCGACACCGGTGGAACGCGACGACTACGTCGCATCATCTGGAAGCGACGCTACTTGCTGATCGGAGCTGGTAACGCCTTATGACGCGTTGTAACTGGGCAAAAATCCCCAGTTAGGTCCATTGATGTCGGAACGGCAAAGCCGGTAGCCCAACGATGTCGACGGGTAGCACCACAATTCCGCGAGAAGCTGTCAATGCTCATCAAGGGAATGTTGTCGGCAAAGATCATCACCACCTTCACCTCACCTTGGGCGTCACCCATCGTAGTCATCATCAAGGCTAACGAGGTTGACATCCGCCTTTGCATTGACTACCAGGTGGTGAACAGCTTTACGAGGTTGATGGTATACCCCATGCCGTTGATCAACGACCTCCTCGAAGACTTGGACAAGGCGCTCTGGTACTGTTCCCTCGACATGGCTAGTGGCTTCTGGGTGGTGTCGATGACCCCGCGAGCAAGGCTGGTGTCGGCGTTCATCACGCCGTTCGGATTGTTCGAGTGGACGAGGATGCCGTTCGGGTTAAAGAACGCTCCTCAGATCTACCAACGAATCGTCGACAACGTATTGTATGGTCACATGCGCATCAAGCCCGATCAGGATTTGTCGAACCCGGTTGACGTCTTCGAGGAAGGAGAGCCGGAGCCGGAACCTAAGCCGTCGGTCCTCGGAAGGAGGTCGTATGTGGACGACATCCTTGTGACGGGCGACTCGTGGGATAGCATGTGCAACCGTGTCGACAAACTTCTCAACGTCTGTGACCGGTGGAAATTGTCGATCAGCGTAGCCAAGAGCTACTGGGGTCGACGCAAGGTGGCGTATCTAGGACACGAAGTATCCTCAGCTGGGCTTGAAGCGAAACCGAAGGAGCTCGACGCAATCGCGAACCTTCCATTCCCCACCAAGTTGAAGGCGATGCGGTCGTTCCTCTGAAGCTTGAACTATTACAGCCGTTTCATTGAGGACTTCGCAGTCTATGCCGCGATCTAGTACGAGCTGCAAGAAGCAGACTTCCATGAAATCGCCAAGATGGACGCAGAGGAGACGCGGGCCGACGATAGTCAGATAACTGGGGGCGAGCGCGACAGGTTGGCGAGGGCGAAGAACGCTTTCACTATTTTGAAGGCGAAGATTATTGCCACGCCGGTCCTGAAGCACTTCGACCCGGAACGCACTCCTGTCATCGTGCTTTACGCGAATAAGTGGGCCATATCAGCGCCATTGATGCAGGAACACGAAGGTGTGTACCACCGGTGACCTCCACCAGTCGCACGCTGAAGGCAAACGAACTTAACTATGGAGTGGTGGATAAAGAGGTATTGGCGCTTCTGCGAATCTTGGACGTCTGTTATTCGCAGCTGGTTACCAGATCGATCAAGGTCTTGTCACGATTTTTGACATTGACCTGGTTGCTCAAGTCGAACGGGTTCGACGGTCGACTGGGTAGGTGGGCAGCGCTGCTATCAGGGTAGACGTTGGAAGGCACCAAATGTGTAAAGGGTGAAGACGAAATCCTTGGGACAATCGCAGCTAGCATCACTCCCCGAGTCGATGTCGACAAAGCCCTAGTCGCGATAGCACCCACGGAAAATGATCACCATGCCTCCACCAACGCTCGAACCAGACGAGAACATCTTGGTGGTGAGTTTTGACGGATCTGCGCGAGTGAAGCGCAGCGGCGGTGCATATAGCGCAGTCGTGTGGAAACTCCCGGAGTGGACGGTGGTGGAAGCCATGTCGGAGTACATGCCGGACTTGACAGTGAACGAGGCAGAATACCGTGGACTGATTCTGGGTTTCGACTTGCTCTCGACCTTGGACAGGGGGCGCGTTTGGGGAGACTCGAACTTGGTGATTCTTCAGATGCAGAGTGAGATGGACTGCAAAGCACCAGGCCTGCAACCGCTCCGACAGAAGGCGTTGAATCGCCTACAGTCGTGGGCGAAACACGAGTTCCTCCACGTGAAGCGGGAATGGAATCAGAGTGCGGACAAGATGGCAAGTGCGGCACTGCAACGAGAAAAAGGCGAAATAGTCACCTCAGAGGACGATCGCCAGGACTTGATCACCGTCAACCGACTGGGGGAAATGCTGAAGCCAAAGTTGATCGAGACAGTCGTCAGCGTAAACGAAATCACGCGAGTCGCTGAGAGACAACGACACACACCGAAAGCGATGGAAGAATCTATCATACAGCGCATACGGTGTCAGAGGATTAGGCAAGCTCAAGATGAAGAGTGGATTGCGGATCTGAAGAAGTACCTGGACGGGGAAGTGAGTGCCTTGACAGCAGAAGAGGCGAAGGCATGCTCGAAGATAGCCGCGAGTTATGAAGTAGACGAGAATTCTTCTTTTGCCCTAAGACGCTGCAGCGAGACGAGGTTCGCAATGGTGTCGTCAGGATGGTGATAGCCGATAGCTTGCAGCGAGACTTTCTTCACCATTATCATGCCAGTCTGGAGGGAGGCCATCAAGGCGTCGGAAGGACGTGCCGGAGGATCCAAGCGAACTTTCACTGGCGTGGGCTGTATCGAAGTGTACAACGTTACGTGGGGGAATGCACCGATTGCGAAACCGGGAAAGGAAAGCCAACGGGCCAAGGAGAATCACCAGGAAATATCCAGGGTATATATCCCTTCCAGGTGATCTCCATGGACCACATTCCGTCGTTGCCGAAGTCATTCAAGGGGAACACCGAACTGCTGATTTGGGCCGACTTGTTCGCCTGTTATGTAATAGCCAAGGCTGGTCCGTCGAGAGAGACGCAGGCAGTTGAGAATTACGAGGAATGCGCCTTCCGTCGTTTCGGCGCAAGCGAAGTCATCAGACATGACCGGGAGCCGGGCTTTATGTCGGACTTTTTCCGTGCCTTCAACCGGATCGTGAAAATGAGACAGAGCTCAACAATGGCTTACCGCCCACAAAGGAACAAGGCCGAGCGAACGGTACAAACCCTAACACGAGCCCTGAAGATGTACGTTGCAGACGTCAACCAGCAAGACTGGGACGGCTATGCAGAGCGGTTGACGTTTGCGCTGAATACGGCACACGATCGAGTGAGGGGAGAAATGTCGTTCTTCTTAGTCCATGGATGGGACCCGCGGTCGACACTTGAAGCAGTTGTTTCGGTGGAATCGACACGCCGCCGCGATGGCGATGCACGGAGATGGAGGTACCACATACAGGGACAGTACCGCAGAGCCAGGGAAGCAGTCAACGAGAATCTGCGCGAGGCGATCAAGTCTAGAGCCGACCAACACAACGAAAACGTCAGACCACACCGAATTGAGGAAGGTACACAAATGCGGCTTTACCTGGACCGCGTAAAAAAGGCTACGCTCGTAAGCTCGCACACATGTGGCATGGGCCGTTCCGCGTAACCGAGCTGATCGGCAATCACGCAGCTCGTCTCGAGACCGCCGGCTCAGGGTATCGAATCTTCCCGATAGTACATCTGTCGAAGTTGAAGCCGGTGCGAACATTCCCTGATCGGGCAAAGGTTGTTCTGAACACTGAAGACGATGATCGGGTAGATATCGATGAAGAACAGCTGCCTGACGATAGCTGGGACACTCCACTGGACGAAGACGAATTCGAGGTAGAACGGATCGCGGATGTGCGAGCGGGGAGACGCACCTGATACGGGCGAGTACACCGAGAATTCCAGATGAACGCTGAGTGAGTCATCGGCGGGTGGAGATAGCGTGTGGGGTGGCGTGGATAGGTATTTGTATAATGCGTGGAGACACCTGGCAACAACCGCGACACGAAAGGGGAACATCGGATATTAGAGGGGACGCTCAAATGATGGATGGTATTACGTACCCCGGTGGATGATCAAGATCGATGATCTAGATGGATGATTGAGATCGATGATCGAGACTGATGATCGAGATGGACGATCGAGATGGTTGATCGAGATGGTTGATCGTAACCGATTATCGGAATCGTGGATCGAGATCGACGGTCAAAGAACCAGAGAATGGAACCCAGCCACGGGGACGAAGAGCTGAAGCAGAGAGCTGACAACCGCACGAAAAGTGTGGCCGCTGCCGTGGAAGACGATGCGCAGTAGAGGTGTCGAGGGTGAGAAGCCATGAAGGAAATAAATATCCATCGATGCGGTCAACCAGACACTGACACGAGAGCATATGCCACGAGAGCATGTGCAACTACAAAAACAAGAGAGGTTAGCCTCGAAGCAAAGAAGGAACTAGCAGAACGCAGCATGGTACGAACAAGGTCAAGACAAACGTGGTTGGGAGACGCAGGGCGCCGACTATGTTGATCAGCTTACCGGACACTGAAG